ATGGATGGATGGATGTTCCCCAGAGGATGAATCCAAATAACTCTTGTATTCCCAAGAAGTCTTCTTAAGCCCTGGAAACAAAACAAACACTGGACAGGGACAAACATTTCCTACAAGTTCTAATAAGGTTTTAAAGAAAAGATGTTTTAATCCAGCATTCAAAGAATGTGAAAGACATTTATCATTTAAAAAAAAACAAAAACAAAAATATTCCTTAAAGGCTTAAAGGACATTTTTTGAACATGTACCTGATGCTGTCATGCTTCCCTACATGGTAGCCTTGAACTGTCCTTGTTGGATTGAGAATGATATATATAACACGTGACAGCCTGCAGCATCAGTGTGACTACCGGTGAAGTGTTTGGGTGAGACGGAGTGAAGGAATCAGTGCTAAAAGCCAGACAGTAGTTCCTGGTATTGACAACCTTATCATTCCTGTCATGGACCTTCCATATACATGCTTTTACAACTGTTGGCTTAAAATGGATAATTATTCTGTGTATCTTGGTTTTTATGCCAGGATTAGATACTTACCCAAAGCTCACACTGAAATCATGTGATTTCAAGAAAAACACATTTAAAAAGAAGAAAAAAAAAAAAAGAAAGTCTTCATTCGTATCCTTTGGCTCTCTGTGAAAAGGAGCCCCTGCAGTTCTTTTTTGTAAGTGAATAAAGCTCTTTATTACAGAAAGTGCATGAGGGAGACCTGGCAGAACACTGAGTGAGCGAACAAGAAGTTCCTCAGTAATTTGTTTGCACCAAATAGATCTTCTGTTCCTCTTCTCTTCCTCCAGAGTTCGACCCCCCCTCCAACCATACACCCTGTGTGATGGAGGTGAAAACCCTGACGGGAGCCTTTCTCTTCTCCCTGGAGTCTCAAACCACCATCGGCTACGGTTTCCGGTGCATCACCGAGGAGTGTCCGGTCGCGATTGTCCTGCTCATCGTTCAGCTGGTCATCACCATGGTGATGGAGATCTTCATCACCGGCACCTTCCTCGCGAAGGTTGGTTTTGTAGTTCGGAGCAGAACTGCAAATTGTGATTGTTAAGGAGGTGATGAGAAGGTAGAAAGCACTAAAAAGGCCTGCATTCTGGGTGCTGCGTTTGTTAAAATATACATGATTTAAAGTAATTATAGTATTAGAAAAACAATTCACATTGATTTTTACCAGCTTTTTGGTTTGACTCTTTATTCTGCAGCCTCCCACCTGTAGCACATGGTATAACTGAGCTACTTGTGGCGCAGACTGCATTTTGCTTCAGCAGCTTTGATGTATGTGCAGTAGGCTACCTGAGAAATCCTTCTTCAATCTTTAGCTTGATATTGCACATGCGTACAATAAACATTTTATTTCAAAACATCCTCTGCATTCTTCTTTAAAGGTATCTGGACAGTTTTTGCATTTATTGGAAAACAAACTCCTCGAATATGTTCTGCACACCCAGTACGAGTATTTATTTTTAAAACCAGTTTATCTTACATATTTTCATCACTCTTTTCTATCAAAAGCAGTTCCCTCATTATTGATAGCCCAACCGCATTTCTCCGTTCCCATCATTTCCTTCTTGAATCTCTTCTTTTCTGAACACGTATCTCAGTGGGCGTCACGTTTTCTTGACACCGAAAGAGGAAGCCTTGTAGATGAAGGTTATGAGAAGTCTTTACAGCGTGTAGCAACAGGAGTCATAACATGTCCTTTTTATCCTCCTCTTGCAGGTTGCTCGTCCTAAGAAGAGAGGTGAGACGGTGAAGTTCAGTCAACACGCTGTTGTGTCGAATCATGAGGGGCGGCCGTGCCTCATGATCCGAGTGGCCAACATGCGAAAAAGCCTGTTATTAGGATGCCAGGTACTGCCCAGTATTTATTTCTTTAGTGGTTGTAGTTTGATTTTGCAGTGCCTCTAAAAAGTATTCACTCCCTTTGGAAGTTTTCCTCTTTTACTGCTTTTAAACATTTAATTATTATCACTTTAATGTGGATTTTTGAGTGAGAATTCACAACAACAACAAAAAAAAGACTCTTTCACGTCAAAGTGAAACAGATTTCCACAAAGTCATGTCAATTAATTAGAAAAACAAAATGAACCGATTGCAGAAGCATCCACCACCTTCAAGTCAGTAGTTAGTAGATGCACTTTGGCTCCAGTTACACCAGTGAACCTGTGTGGATAGTTTCGATCAGCCTTGAACATTTGGACACTATAATTTTCCTCAATTCATTTTTTGCAAAACTGCTTAAGCTCTTCCAGGTGGCATGTCGATCGTCCGGCCACAAATTGTCAATTTGACTGCGATCTGGTCTCTAGCATCCAGACAGAGGTGTCTTTATCTCCATTTCTTTAGTTGTGTGAATTCTTGCACCACTTGGCTGCACATGTGTTGGGTTCAGTGAGTCACTATAAACAGGATGAACACTTATGCAGTCACTTATTTTATATTTTTCATTAATTGGCATTACTATGTAGAAATCTGTCTTCACTTTGACATGAAAGAGGCTTTTTTGGGTAATTTTTTTGTTAGAAAAATAGACAAATTGAGCATAATTTAATGTTCAACGCACTGTATTATTTGCTTGTATTGTGTTTTTTTTTAATGCCATTTGGAGCTCATATGTGTGAGTCTGTCCCTCAGTGTTAATAATAATTACAACACAACACGACACAAAAAACTGAAAGCTTTCATGTGCACATTTAAAGAGCTGTTGTAATACATGTAAACATTTGATGCCCTCTTCCTGTATATGTGTCGGCAGGAAAGTAGGTTTGTGTCATATCCTGTCAATAAAAACTTTTCATCTGAGCACTTGCTGGAATAACGTTGCTGGTGTGAAATAAAGTTCAGAACTCATTCCCAGACTAAATATATCAGTGTTTTGCTCAGGGGCACACGACGTCTCTTTGAGATCTTGGCAGGTATTAAACCAGGGGCCCTCTGGTTGCAGGATGCCTTCTCCAACCTCTTGGCCACATTTACTGACTTCATCTTGGCTCCCAGGTGACGGGGAAGTTGCTTCAGACGTCCCTGACAAAGGAGGGCGAGACGGTGAGGCTGGACCAACGCAACGTGCCGTTCCAGGTGGACACGTCCAGCGACAGCCCCTTCCTCATCATCCCCCTGACCTTCTACCACTTCATCGACGACAACAGTCCCCTCAGAGCCTGGGCAGCAAAAGGTAAGTCACAGCCTCTCATCAAGGTTATGTGGCAACAAGTATTTCATCTCCGCGGGTCATTTTTTTCAGTTCTCACACAAAGAATAGTTTGTCAGTCTGCAGTAACTCAGCTAAGACAAAAGGTCCCATAATGCAAGACAGGATCAATGAATGACACAGAGTCAGATTTATGTCAATACAATAAAACAAAACTTGTTAAATGTCAAACAAAAATTCTACTTTGGGAAAAAATGTAACTCGCTGAACCAAAAAAAAGTCATCTCCAAGTAAAACTTCTAACGTTCAAACAAATGATTTGTGTAATCATGTAAGTTGTAGATCTTTTGCTGGATTTCTTGGTTGTATCGTCTGTTTTCTTTGCAGTTCTGACCAAAACCTCTTGCATGCATGGGTGTTGTTGTTGTTTTGTTTTTTTTTGTAAGTTATACGTTCAAAATAACTTCTTTTTATGCTTCCATGAGTCATTTTAGTCTGTCAAATTCTTTTCCATCTGATGTTAAAGAAGTTTTGTTTGAGATAAATTTGATTACATACAGGAAAAATAAACAAAACAAAACTGTAGATGAAGCTACATTGTAAAGAGAGAAAAATGTATTTATATATGTGTGTGTGTGTGTGTGTGTTTGTGTGTAATGAGAAACATGTGAAAAGAGCTGAAAACAAGTTCTGGACATTCGGTTGGTTAGTTTCACAGAAATAAAAAGACTATTTTTTTTCTTTTTAAATTTTACATGAGGCCTAACAGAGTTCAAGTCAGCTATATTGGTAATTGTCCTCAGGATCCATCATTCCTTATGGTGTATGTAAGCAGCTGGGTAATACACTCTAGTAGCGCTGTGTTGCGTTTTGAGAGAATTCGCCTCTTGCTTCTCATTTACACAAAGTTGAGGTTTCGGCGACTTCATGCATATCAGGAGCCTCCAGTGTCACATCCCTCCAAAAACTTTTAAACTAACGGTAGTCCATCTTAAATGACTCGGCAGCTACATGGTTTATTCCTTGCCACAAATGCTAACACACGAGCTTGTTACGTGCCCACCTCACGCACAAAACCAAAGTCTTCCACATTAAAGAATTCGTCTCTTAATATGTATTTTAGGGAAATAACATAAATGCACAGCTGGTATGCAGAATGTTGGCAGGTGTGCAGTTAAAAACGTATACCACATAACACAATGGTTTCATTTTTGCCAGTTTTATGAGTATTGACATACAGAATTGAAATTTCTATACTTACCAATCAAACAAGGAGCATGTCGGTAGCTGCGGTACTGTTATAAAATTACAAAGATGTAATGTGTTTTTCAAAATGGGACTTCTATTCTGACTTTTTGATATGTCTCTTGACCAAACTTGCACATGTGTGCGTTCAGACTGTATGTGTGTGTAGGTGCGTTGGTATTTTCGGTCATGTGCTGCGTGCCTGGCTGCCCCTGACCGTCCAGAGTTGGGCTTGTTTGGCTTTGGATAGGAGGGTTTCTCTGGCTGGAATGTGTGTGAGAGAGATTGCCAGACAGCCCTCATTAGAGCACAATACTGTACAGTGTGGGGTGCTGACACGAAGCCTGCACAGATCCACTTACAGCAGCTCAGACCTCTCATCACTGGAAGCCACATCAGTAGACGGAATCGTATTTACAGCTACTGCAGGCTGCACCTTTCCTCTCTTTTCTTGGCCGCATTTGACCCTTTCAATTTTCTGACTTGATATTTCCTTTTCTTTCTCTTATGTGCTGTTCTCTGCTCCGTGGCACTTTCTCACCGTCTCCATAATAAGACTTTGTGTTATTATGAAGACGGTGTTCTTGAATTTCCAGTTATGTAGCCGCATTTAAAGGATTCTATTACAGCACACACACTGCTGGCCGGTCAGCCTTGTTATAGAGTGCTGTAGCCAGCTCTCTAATGTTGCTTTCCTGTGGGTTGATCTGGAAGCGATGCCTTAAAAACACTCAAAACATAACTAATGGCTAAAAATGAAAAACAATTAGGGACCAAAAAGAAGCAAACTTCCAGCAGATTATGTGCTACAGACTTCAACTCTTGTGCTGCTTCATTCTTAAAGAGTGCAGATCTGTGTCAACGTGCATCACATCATCCAAAAACTGATGAAACGAGCACTGTGATATTTCATTTTTCTGTGATTTATGTTGCAATATGAAAAAAGTAGCTTCAAAAATATTCCATAAGTGCAACTTTCCAGCAGCAACATGTGATGTGATGTTCTCACTTGTATGACCATTCAGGAAAAATGCTGTTTGCAAATCTTGACTTTTTTAGTTGGCGGATCATCGATCAAATGCATGGCAAGACTTGTGCAGGACTTGGTTGTACAGCTGGACCGCGAGCTGCATAATAATCCTTGTCAGAGTTCTGTTTAACTTGTGCCTTGCATTTTTGGACAATCTCTCTGAGAGGATGAAGCAAATATGAGGTGACTTTAGAGATGAATGTTAAAGTCTGAAGCGTCTTTAGGTTGAATTTTTCTACAATTTGATTTTTGATTTTATTATTTTTTTAAATCAGAGATGTTTTACTACTTGTAATGTTGGAATCAGTTTCTGCAGCAGCTGTATTTTAAGCTGGAGTCAGTCCTGGTGATTCCTTCTAAAAGACATTCATCCAAAAGGTTTGTGTGGTCTCTGGAGAGTCTCGGTTCCTCTCTGCGTCAGTGTTTTTGCCTCGATTTATCGATGGAGCTGTGTAAAAGACTCTTAGCTCCAAGTGAGAAAACAAGTTGCTGCACTGAAACTAAAACTAAACCAACTGTCTTTATGTTGCAACACAACAATGCAGCAATTTATCGCACAGAAAATCTTGAAGAGAGCATCAACTTCAGCTCAAAGCAATCTCCACTTGGAAATGTTCTGCAGCACAGCCCGGCTGAAATTACACTGCTGATGATGGAACGACTGATAGATGTAAAGGTTGAATCCACCCAAAACATTAATATCTGTCCAAGTACTTATAGCTTTAAATGGTTTATTTCATCCAAAAAGTCTGTTTTTGTGGTACAACGTGTCACATCTACTCAGTCACTTATGAAAGTTCAGTGAATGTGACATGCGGCTGCATATGGTTCAGAAAATATCATAAGTTAAAATCTACTTTATCAGGTTTTTTTGTTAATGTGTGCTCAAAGATGATGATGATGATGATGATGATGATGAGCTACTTGCCTACAGAGAAATTTCAGGCATTTGTCTTTAATAACTTTTGAGATATTGAAAACAAAAAGGAATTTTTTAAAAGAAATCATTGGAAAGTATTTGATATATCAATCTGAAATGTCAGAAATATCTTTACATATACATAGAAACAGAAAAGTGGCCACGACATAACTTGTATTTTATTTGGTGTGGTTAATCTACCTAACATGATCTGGGAAAAGCTTTTCAATCCGACACTGAATCATCAAGAATAGCTCATGGTTGAATGAATGTCCCCAATGTGCAGTTTAGGAAAGAAGTTTTTGTATACACTCGTGGGTATTACACATGACCGAGCATGATTCTGTACTTTGGAGCTTTAGAACCCCCTGCAAACCTTCTTTTCAAGTTCAGGACATGTACTGTGTTTAATGGCCTCTTCAGCAGGGAGCATCTCTCTCAGGAACATTGAAATTGGCGCAACAGTGTGTGAATGTATTTGGCATGACGTGACTACACGGTTGGACCATGAGTCATGTTAAATCAGGAGGGCAGGACACTGTGGAGACGGTCTATAGGAGAGACGTCATGGCTGTTCAGACCACTGAGCTGGAATATCAGGACTTCTTCACCACACAGGGCTGATTGTAAAACCTGAACCGAGGGTGAATGAAAAATGGCATCAATGAATACTTCTAAAACGGTATTTCCTTCAGAGATGAGTGATTCTGAAACTCTGCTGTGACTGATTGCAGGAAACAAAAGAGCTTTTCAGGTTGTCGATTGAGTGAACTTTGCCAAAACGACACAAATTTGACTAATGATGACTAAGAATAGTCCAACAAGAATCAACATGAAACAAAAATGTTACTTGAATTTGTCGACTATGACCCATTTCTGTCCAAAATAAAACCCGTCTACAGTGACTCACATCTGTCCATAAAGACTCAGACATGATCAGAATGACTCAAAATTTGTCCAAAATGACTTAGACATTCTCAAAATGGCTCAAACTTCACCAAGATTGTTTGAAACGACTCAAACTTGACCTAAATCATTTGACTCAAACCCTGTTCAAAATGACAAAAGCTTTTTCAAAACGGCTCAGACCTCACCAAGATGACCTGAACTTGAAATATGAAATGACTCAGCTTTACCAAAAGCAGGTGAATATGATGCAGAGTTACTCAGAATTATCCACAATGACTGGAAAGTTGTCCAAAACAACCTGTCAACATACCTCAGAAATCATCCAGAAATGATTTAAAACTGTCTGCAGTGACTCACGCCTGTCCATCAGGACTCAAACATGAAAATATATCCACAGGAACTCGTGCAAAATGACTTCAACTTCTTTTAAATGGCTCAAACTTGAACAAGATCGCTCAAAATTGTTATAAATTAAACAAAAT